GTTAGAGGATTCACGAGAGACAGAGTGAGGAGAAGAACAGGTAGATTTTACTGAAATACACTGCTGAGGGGAGCAGAGGGCCAGACAGGAGATGTCTGCTGTGCCACGTGGGTTAGCTCCTTGGCCGGGGATCGAACTCAGACTATAGTGATGATAGCATGCTAGCACTGAGACTTAACCCATAGACCACCAGTAGGCCTCTCCAGTGGTGATTTGATTTGCACTCATACCCTAGGGTCTCTTCATAGAAGATAATTTAAGGTTCAAAAATAGTCACATGAAAGATTGATAGATATTAAAATGGATGATGATTTAGAAGACTTCTTAGGATATGGCCATACTTCAAGGTCTCATTATGAACAATGGTTATTATGTAATAAAACATTTCCTTTTATTGTTAAACTTTTTTATTATAGATAGAATGATACATACATACATACATTAATGGTACTTGAAATAAGTCCTGCAGGGAGAATGTCAGCTTGATTAACTTTATATATTCAAAGTATCATTTCTTTAGACTGTTTTACCAAATAAACTGATATCCAGTAACGTAGTATTGTAGAAACTTCAAAAAAACCCAAATACATAAAAGGAACTTTTGTATCAAATAATCCATTGACCATAGACAATTAATTTTGTTTTTACCAGAAATTGCATTAAAAATAACAGTAAAGAGTTTGTTTTTGTTTTTGTTTTTGTTTTTTTTTTAAAGTGAGTACACCTACCAAAATAGAGCAAAAAAAAAAAAAAGGGTGGGGGAGATGATGGCCACACTATTTTGGCAACTGGAAGCAGATTGTTTCACGGTAACAGATTTAGCAGATGTGTGGAGCAGATCTGTTATTGAACAACATCCTCATACCTCACCCTCCCTTTCTCTTCCACTGGAGAGTACATTGGCAGGAAGGCCTCTATTCTCCCTACATGAAGCTGGAAAGATCTTCCCAGAGAATCTAAGCAAACTTGGGAACTTCTCTACTAAACTAGTACAGCCTTCCTATGGTGGGGACATAACAGTAAGTGACCCTGGTGTGCTCAGCACCTCCAGTTTGGTTCCCTTGCAGTAGTGGTGGTTTCCATTCTTAGGTTTGAATTGTTAAGGCTTTGTAAAGAACCCCTATACTTTGGAAAACCCAAAAGAAGCAGAAATCAAAGTATAAGAAATAAATACTTATGAAGAGAAAAACTTCAAAAGAGTAATCATATCTTGAGAGGCAAAGAATCATGAAACAAGAAAAAGATGCTATTAAGAAAAGAAATACTTAAAAATTGAGAGTTTTGGAAATTGAAAATATGATAACAGTAGTGAATTTTTTGTGGGTGGCAGAATTGAAGAAATTGAAGATTTCTGAGCAAAAAGTAGAGCAAAAAGAGGAGAGAATATCAGAATTGGAGTACCAGTCCAGGAAGTCTATTATCCAAATTGTAGAAAAACTATAGACATCAGAGAAAATGGAGGAGAGGAACCAGCAACAAAATCAATTAACACATTTTTTTTTCAGAACACATGGACATAAACTCACAGACTGAAAGGTCCCACTGAATTTCAGCCCAGCAGATCAAGATACAGCCATATCAAGGAACTATTACTGAAAAATTTCTGAACTCTGAAGGAAAAATTACTAGGAGTTAAAAACAGATTATATTAAAGTACCTGGAATTTGCATATTAGACTTAGTGGCACTGGAAGTTAAAGGTCACTGAAGTGGCCTTCAGAATTCTGAGGGAAAATTTTTCACCCTGTCAAACTTTCAGGAATAATTTTTAGATTGAAAATTTATTTTTGGGCCTCCCTGGTGGTGCAGGCAGTTGAGCGCAGCGCTATGAAGCTGTCTGCAGCTTCTGCAGTGCCGGTTCAATCCCTGCCGGCCTCAAAGCTACCCACATGGCGCGGCAGACCTCTCCTGTCTCGCTCGCTGCTCCCCTCAGCAGTGTATTTCGTCAGTCTGCTATTCTGTTCCCCACTCTATCTCTGGTGAATTCTCTCACCCTCCCGTGCAACTGGCCTATACCCCAGCTCTTGTATAAATAAAAAATAAATCTTCTCAAAAAAGCAAAGAAAATTTATTTTCTAGAAGCTACCAGAAGATGTGTTTTACCAAAATGAAGTAAGCCAAGAAAAATAAATGATATCCAACAAAAGAGAAAAGCAAATGAAATTCCCAGAATGATGGTGAAATGAGGTTGTAAGTACAGTCTAGGTGTACCAACAAAAGAGCAGATGAGAAAGTTCTAGAATGCTTTCTCCAGAAAGGTGAAATTGATAGACTACATGATAGGTTTTAACTTCTTTAGGGAAGAATCAGGCAATTGATAGGTAGTTTTGGATTGAATACACAGAAATATGATGGAAGAAAAAAGCCCTGAAGTAAAAATTATTTACTCCAAAGAAACAAAAAGTTGTGCAAGAGAGGAAATTAGTGATATATTGGTACAGATAGGATCCTTCGGCTGTGAATAATATTTAAACCACCCACACCAACAGAAACTGAATAACTCAGACCATTACTGTATATCCATATTTGAAAGATAGAATGAAGAGAAAGGTTTATATGTGTATAAATGATAATTGTGTATGTGTGTGTGTGTGTGCTTGGGGGTGGGGTAGAGACATGGGACTGACAAGAGTAAAGAAGTTCAAATGTTCATTTGTTATAGGAAAGTCAACAGATAGTATTAAAATAGAAAATTGAATAGGAGAGATACAGTCAACCTACTTAACTCTAAGGGGTTAATAAAATAATTAGCAAAAGAGTGGAGGAAAAGGAAATTGCTGGCATATGGGACAGAGAATTGATAGATACAACTGTTCAGAATTATTTAACCCTCTAAACTATGTCCATACAAATTTTGATACAAATAAAAAATAATAAAAATAGGGAATTACTGTTTTGTTACACTTTTAAAATGTGTACATGCACACAGATGTTTATGTACACATGTACACTTACACACACATGCATTTTCTTGGCGTATTTGTGTTAGGTCAAATATGCTGGATATTGGGAGCTAAGTACAGTTGAGATAAAGTATAATTTCGACCAATGAAAGTGTTCTCTGAAATTCTGAAAAGTAAACTTCGAACATGTATTATGGAAAATAATCAGTCATACTGCAGTTCAACTTTTAGCTTGTGAGATGTCTGTAAAATGAATTGAAATTGTCATTAGTAACTCATTTATGTGCCTGGGAGGCACTATTGTCACATAATATCTATTGTCATGTTATATTCTCATACAAACCCTACAAAAATAAGTATTGTTATCTGAGGTTCAAAAAGTGCAACTAGATTGCCTAAAATCTTTTCAAAAAATTTTTAAAAAGATTTATTTACTTATGCATGAAAGAACTGGGGTGTAAGCTAGAGGTACAGGGGTTAAGTAGATTCAGCAGAGACAGAGTGGGGAGCAGAGCAGGCAGATCTACAGAAGTACACAACTGAGGGGAGCAGTGGGCCAGACATAAGAGGTTGACTGTGCTACATGTGGGTTAGCTCCATAGCTGCTGCTCAAGCTCAGGCCCAGGTGGTGCTAGCCTGAGACTCAACCCTTAGATTGCCTAAAATCTTACAGTAAGTTGGTGGCAGAGCTGGGACTGGAACTTGGTCTCCCTGATTCCAAATCTGTACCCCAGATTGTGATCAATTGAAATGTGTTTGCAGATGGCAACTATACTGAATAAAATCAAATGTCCATATCTTTGTGCTTGGATTCTGGAGAGTGGCTCTCCAGAGATTTGAAATACTTCTACTTTTCCAGCAGGTGGCATTGTAGTTTTTATGTGATTTTGGATGTTTAACGTTTCTGGGATTCCCCCAAATCTGAGACCTGATCTTGAAGCTGCTGAGTCAGGGGGAGGGAGAGGTGTTTGTGGTGGTCAAGCTGCTGCTATGAGCACTCTGGTTGAGGGGACAGGCTCCTGTGTGTGGCACCTCCTAGAGCCCTCTTCTCTGGAATTCCAGATCTAAGTCTTTGTGGTCTCTGCTTACTCTCAGTGAGCCTCCCAAGGTCAGTACCAGTCCTAGGGGTGAAAGAGGCAAAGCACCCCAGAACACTGCCCTTGTTCCTTTCACTGAAGACCGTCATGTTAGTCAAAGGGGTGTGGATCCACACCATTCAGCTCTCCCTCCCTGGTACCTCCATTGAGATTTACATAGTGTCCTACTCCTGACCACAGCTTCCAAGCATCTCTGCCCACCACTTCTTGATCCCTCAGGCATGAATCTTTGTGTCCCTTTGGTGCCATCTGCCTGCTCTGTGATGTCCCAAGAGTTGTTCCAGTTTAATCCAAGCCATCGGACTCTCCAGTTATAATGCTCCATTGGTTAACCTAGATGATCCTCTGGGGAACAAAATAAGGAGCCTCCTTTGATGCCATCTTTGATTACCTCCCCACATTTTAAATGTAATATTTTTTATTGCTAAAACATTAGGCCAGTTTACAGTTGTTAGTTTCCCCACTGCTGTCTCAAGAAACATGACTATTTATTCAACAAAAATTTTTGCTGATGCCAGTTTCCTAAATGGGAAGCCTACTTATTTATTATCTCAAAAAGTACTATTGTTTTATATGTTATTTTATATTGATTTAGTTAATAGAGTTTTAGAGGTATTTGGGTACTAGGAAGAAGTTTTCTTTGTGTCTGTGGTTAGTATCCATCTATGATGATTACACATGAAATTATCTTATTGCTATTTTAGCGCTTCTTTTTTTTTATTCATTATTAGTCATACATACTTTTTAGCAAACAGTTCAAACATTTATCTATTTTGTTTGAAAATATTTTTTTTTGATGTTAAACATTAATAAGTATTGCCATAGAAATAAAGATATGGTAGACTGTGGAAAATTGCAGAAATGACAAATGCAAGATTGAAGATAGTTTTAAAATTAGAAATTTTTAATTTTTACTCTCTCTGGTTGGACTGTAAAAAGTCTTTTAAGTCTGCTATGGAGAAATGTCAGTAACATAATTGATTCATTCTTTTTGCCTAAAGGAGGAAGAAAATGTCCTTGGATGAGAAGTGGAAATTTTTGAGCTGCAACTTCAGTTTATTCTCAAAGCCAACATTGTTTGTCTTCATTTAATCCAACTCTGATGGACTTCTGTGACAGTTGCCTGTATACATGCTCTAATGAAATATTAGAAATGGCTGTACATTGAAAAGAAACTCCATATTATATATCCACATCACTGCTGCTAGTGTTCATATTTTTTCACATACTGTTTATTGCTTATATGTAGAAGAAATAAAATTAGTTGTCAGAGTTGTTAGTGGTATGAATATATGTAGTATATTAATATTGAGACAGGAAAAATACATTCCAAGCATTAGTTGTCCTTTATTTCCTGTCTACGACAGAAAATTTGCTCATCTGGAGAAAAATGTAATTCTTGACAATAAAATAAAGAGTTTGGATCAAGAATAGCATGTGAATTTAAAGTTCAATGCAAAGGATTAGTAAAAATCCTATTTTGTCATTTTTCACCACTTATATCACAATATCAGACTGGTTTTTTACTATAGAAAAATATTTGGAAGTAATGCAAGAACAAAATACTTACATATTACCATCTTAAAGAATTTAATTGCTAATTGTACTTATTTGACATTTTAGAAACTGTGGTTTCTAGGAATTTGAGAAAGAAATAGGACAAAAAGAAGGTGGGTACAACAAACCAGGGGTAGTTTTATTTTCCATGAATAAAAATGTAATTTTATTATTATCCTGTAATAATAGAGTGTTACACATTTTGTGAGATTTTTATTCTATGGATTTCACTTCAGTGTATTGAGACATTTCTTTCAAAGATGATAAATATTTTAAGTGTTACTGGTAAATTTAAGCATAGATCAGTTGCAGTTAGATGTGACAGAATGAGATAATTTATGTAAATTAGTAGAGTGTCTGACACAAAACATGCTAATAATGTTATTTGTTGTTACTGTTGTAAAGCTAATGACTTCATCACATAGTCCTAATTTGGAGAAATTTTGTGATGCAAAATATCTAGGTTTGAAATAGAATTAATGCAGTGGAAATAACTATGTTTTCAGAGACGTGGATGTGTTGAGTAGAAGTTGTAATAATGAAAACATTAACTACAAATAAAAATCACACCACAAATCCCTGAAAAAGGAAGTAAAGAAAGTTCATTGTGGAGCCTGGGGTAGGGAGAGAAAGGACTAGAGCTGTAGCATTGTGAGGAAAAATGACACTTGTGAGGTCAGGGAACTGTCAGCAGAGGTGGACCGGACCAGATAGCAATAGGCAGAGCCTCTGAGTGTAGATAAAGATTCTTTCATTTTGTAGTTTTATAGTTTCGAAAATGGAGAAATGTTAAAACATGGCACAAAAACTGTGGCATATTTTTTATTTACATCTTATAGACTAAAAGTGATATGCACATACCAAACATTGCTGCTATAGTTTCATTTGTAGTTAATGTTAGAAGATGAAATCTAACGTCTTTCCTGGATAAGAGGCCAGCCAGGCAGCGCTGTCAGCACTCTTTTGGTAAATCCTGTGTTCAGGTCCTGGAATAGAACAGTCTACCAGCACCCAGCCTCTCTGCTCTGGTATTGGGTTGGTATTGGGCAGCTGAGGCTGTCCTGGGATTTGACTTCTGATGCTTCTTGTAATCTCCAGCCATCAACATCTGAAAGATACAAAATAAAAAACAAAAATGAATTTCAGGTGACTTTCAGCATAGTATCTATTGGCTCATATTTCCCTCTGGGAAAAAAGTTTTTAAAAAATTGAAACAAATTTACTTGCTGAGACAAAAAACTGAACTGAGCTACTTGATTCAGATTATGGTGAGATTGTGGGGAAGCTTAATATTCTTTCACATGAAAGTTATTTCAGAACTAGATTCCCCAGACTCTGAATAGGAATGCTGTTTATAGTGATCATTTTATTGGAATGAATTGGAAAGAATGATTTGTCAGTCAAGTAATTGCTCTCAGTTCAAGTAACTACTCTCAAATCTGTCCTGTTTGATGGCAAAATGGGAAAAAAGTAAAAGTTATACGATGGAAATTGAGGAAGGAGTCTCCCAAAACTCTTTTAGGGGGAAGAGTTAACTAAAGATAAATGAAAATTTCATAGATCTTGAAATTTAATTCAGGATTTTGTTCACCTATAGTAAGAAAAAAAGACAATAAATTGAGGTGCTTTGTCACATAATTTGCACAAATACAAGCACTTCTGATTCATTCTAGTTAATATACCTGACTGTGTCAAGTAATATTGTTCTCAGAAAATGTTTGTCAATGAAGGTCATTTGAATTTTCTCTTTTTTTCTGTTGGCAAATCTAGCTAAAGAATTGCCAATTTTTTTAACCTTTCAAATAGCCAACATTTGATTGTGTTGGTTTTCTATACTATTTCTATTCTCTATTTTATTAAGTCTTAATCTTTATTATTTCTTTTCTGATTTTTTGGGGTTTAGTTTGTGTTTTTTCCATTGTCATAAGGTTAGCTTATTGATTTGAGATAATTTTATAAGATAAAGGTATTTATACTAGAAAATTTTCTCTAAACATTATTTTAGCTCTATCCCATAATTTTGATATGATTTTATTTTAATTCATCTCAAAGTATTTTCTAATTGCCATGTGATTTTTTTTTCTTTGACTTAGTGATTACTTAGGAGTATATTGCTTAATTCCCACAATTTATGAATACCTTAATTTCTATTATTGACTTATAATTTACCTCCATGTGGTCAGAGAACATATTTTGTATCATTTCATTCCTTTGAAATTTATTGAGTCTTGTTTTATGGCCTATGCGCACTTGATGTGTATTTTGTTGGGTGGTATGTTCTGTTCTATAAATGTCTGTTAGATCTAGTTGGTTCATGGTATTATTCATATATCCTATTTTCTTATTGATCTTCTCCCTATTTTTAATCTATAACTAAAAGTAGGATGTTTAAGTCTCTTATTGTTATTGTTTAATAGTTTCTCCCTTCAATTCTATTAGCTTTTTCTTCATGCATTTTGGGGTTCTGTTAGGTTTATCTATGTTTCATTGTCATATTTTTTTCTGATGGAGTTACCATTTTGTCTTTATGAAATGTCCCTCATCTCTAGCAACGCTATATGCCTTAAAATATACTTTGTTAGATATTAGTATAACATGCTTATGGTTGCTGTTTGCATGATATAAGTCTTTTGTAACTTTTTACTCTCAACCTATTTGTAGTTTTGAGTCTCAAATGTGTCTCTTAAAGACAACTTAAAATTGGGTCTTGTTTTTGCTGTAGTCTGACAATCTCATTTAAGATTCATTGGATTGCTTCACCCATTCATATTTCATGTTATTGCTGATAAAATTGGATTTATATCCACGATTTTACCTTCTGTTTACTGCATGTCTCATCTTTTTTATGTTGCTCAATTTTTCCTTTATTGCTTTCTTTTGCATTAAGTGAATATTTTCCAGTGTATGATTTCAATTGCTCTAATTTTTCCCTCACTTATTTTGTGGAGTGTATTTTCTCAGTTGTCGTTCTAGGGATTACAATATGCCTGTTAATTTATCTGAATCAACTTCAGATGCATATTAACTTGATTGTAAAGCAAAATTAGAGATGTTCTCCCTGTTTTTTTCTATTACCTCTTACCCACCTTTGTACTCTCTTGTTTTACGTGTTATATCTACATGTATATATGTGACAATCCCAACAAAATAGTCTTAACATTATTGTTTTATAGTACTGAATACTTATTCAGTTCAGAAGGTAATAAAGGAGGACAATTATATACATGTGCCTGTACACACACATACACATATAAAATTTGAAATTATATAAATATAATCTTTTATATTAATCTTCCTATTTACCATTTCTGGTTCGTTTAGTTTTGTTTTAGGCATTCAAGTTACCATCTTCTTCTTCTTTTTTTTTTTTAAAGATTTATTTATTTATACAATATACAAGCACTGGGTACATAAGTTACCATCTTCTGTCCTTTTCTTACTGAAATATTTTGTTCTCAGCTACCTCCTTTATGCTTTTATAGTTAAATATGTTACACATTTATAGGTTCTAAGCCTAACAGTACTATTATAAAATATTATTTTATAGAATTTATTTTTAAATAAGAGCAGGAAAGATACGCATGCATATTATCTTTTGTAGTTATATATTTACTTGGACCAGTGCTCTTTGTTTTTCAGAGTCTTTTCAGATTGCTATGTGGGTCACTTGCCTTCAGGCCTGAGTGTTTCATATAAAGCAAGTGTGCTAGCAACACTCTCTTAGTTCTTATATGGGAATATGTTTATTTCATCTCTATTATGAAAGAGAATTTAGGTGGTGTAAGATTCTTTGCTGATTGTTTCTTTTTCTTTCAGTATTCTGAATATGACATCTTACTGCTTTTCGGTCTACATTGTTTCTGGGAGATATTATCTATTGAATGGTGGATCCCTTTTATATGACCAATGATTTTTATTTACTTCTTACAAATTTTTCTTTTTTCTTTTACCCCCCAACATTCTTACTATGATTTGTCTTTTCATGTTTAACCTGCTTGGAGTTTGTTGCATTCCTTTGATTCACATTTTAAATCAAATTTGGGGTCTTTTTGCTAATTACCTCTTTGAAATTTTTTTTCTACTTCTTTCACTTTTCTTCTAATGCTCCCATTATGCATCATTAGTGCATTCAATAGAGCTTCATATTTCTCTGAGCTTCTGTCATTTTCTCACCTTCCTTTTCTGGGACATGTATTTGTTGTGTGCCTGATTTTTTGTTTAGTGATGTGGCTAGACCATTTTGAAACGTGACATTGATGATGTGTCTCCCCAGAAAGCTGCAACTCAGCATGTGTGCAGTCACCCTGGCATGGCAGTGAATAATATGCTTATCTGTTTTTGAAAAGTGCAATTAAAATTCTTTTTCAACATAGAAATAAGTTGAAAGGTAACCCCTGTCACCAAGTGCACCAATGCCATATGTGTTCATGGACAAGTGTTTTGTTGTAATTATATTATTTTTTATTGAGGTGCTATTGGTTTATAAATCTGTATATGCTTCAGAGGTATAGATTCCTATCTCTTCACATGTATGTTACATAACACAGCATCGCCAAGGCACTCGTAATACTCCACCATAGTCCATTGGACCTGCTCCTCACTTTGCTCCCCATCCTATGCTCTGCCTCTCTCAGCTCAATTCTAAAGTCATATTTCTAGTTGGTATAATTTTGTTGGTTCTTTCTTCTGTTTCTCTGTGTTCCACATATGTGAGAAATAATCCTGTGTTTGTCTTTCTCCTTTTGACTTACTTCATTTATTATACCCTGTAGTTCCATCTATGTTGCTACAAATGGAAAGATTTCATCTTTTTTTCCTACTTAGGCAGTATTCTGTTATGCATCTATACCACATCTTCTTTATACATTTGTCAATCAGTGGGCACCTCAGTTATTTATAGCTTG